CGGTCCATCTCTCTTCTCTCCCTTGGATTTACGTCCCGTTTCATCGTGCCCCTCTATCCCTCTCTGTCCGTCACCAAGATATCGGCTCGTAGGGACTATTATCGTAGGGTCGTGAAAAGTTAGCAACGAGCAAGAGAAAAAGCTTGTTAAATTTAATAGTTGACTTCGAACTTCCTTTTGGCATACCGAAGTTTAATTTGAATCATGTAAATTATTCATGTCCTATGGAATTTACAATATTATCGTTATCACGAATTTTTACACGGGGATTATTATTACGTCACGCGATTATCTTAAATTAACAGCGAAACTGGGACACCGCTGACACTTCAAAAAAAATCTCACAGATGCACTTTATGCGGTTAAACGATTCTTCTTGGCGCGCCTAATGACGTCATGCGACTGCTGCATTAAACTAGGACAGGGTTTAACGCTGCAAGTTTCTGCAACGTATTCGGCCGCGATAAAACCGCCAGGATGCGGATTATATTGTCGGATTTAGCCTCCTGCGGAATTTCGGTGAACTCGACGACTCTCGGCGCGTCCTCCGCCTTCTCTCGATCGGGGAATTTGCTCGTTGCGAAAGTCGCCGGGATCGGACTTTCTTCTCTCGTACCATTATTTTCATTCATAAAAGTAGCACCAGCGATTTCATTTTCTAGCACAGAACCACGTTCGCGGTATAAATGTCGTTCATTGATGTCGATGCCGCACGATCAATATTGTACACTAGGCCGCGTATTGAATGTAATTTACACGGTCCAGTTGCCTCGCATGCGACGACCAATCGAGAGTCACATGCGCATGCAGACGCGCATTTATCTTCGATCGGACGGTGTTTTTAATAAAATCAAATATTTTATAAGAGTTTGCCTCTCCAGCATCATCGCCTACGCGATGACACTTTTAAAAAAGAAAAAAAAGACGCGTCCCGTTGGATATTGCTTTAGATCCTAATATAGAAACGAGGACGTCTCCGACTCCCTCGGTATTTAGAAATTAGCGGGCAACCAGGCAACACCACGCGGCCTGCTACTCCAGGTTACTTTCTGACGTCACTACCAACCTCTTGACGTCATTCACCTGTATCTGCCTCTCTCTTTGTCGTGTCTCGGGAGATGTGCCGCATCCCTCCCCTTTCTCTTCCCTCGCTTAGGATTCGATGACCCAAGCAGTCGCTACCTATTTCGCTACTTCGATGTGAAACAAATGTTACTAAAAAAAAAAAAATACGTTCAAAAAAAAAGGACGAGTGCAAATTGCAGCTCGGACAAGCCTTGATCGATCGATCGATGCGCTTGCGTCACGTCGTGTATTTTAAGACGTCGGTGACTTCGTGCCAATGTGAGATATTTAACTTTCTATGGTTTAACACGAGTTGAAACTAATAAACTATATATGTAACTCGAAAGATTGAGTTTTCGGAGGAAAGAGCGGAGTAGTCTCTCCGTTATCGTATTCACTTTTATCAAGACCTCTCATGTATGCTTTAATAATAGCAAATCGAGACGCGCAAAGTCCAGAGGCGAAACTCAATCGGGCGATCGTAAATCAGATCGTAGCTCGTATCGGGGTAAGGTCAGAAAATTACGGTATAAAGGTTCGACATTGTCGGCTTACCAAGCATGAGGATGATAGATCATAAAGCGATTAGCCGAGTAGCCAGGGATGTTGGACGGCAGGTGCAACGTCGTCGGCGAACCTGCCGGTCTGTCGACCAACTGTCGCTTCGCGCTCCGCGGCTACTGGCTAACTCTCCCTTTTACCCCGAGGAGTCTCGAAGAGTCGTGTGCCAAAGGCACGTCGACGACGTTATTCGACGTGGGGTAATTTGGCAGCCCCGCGGTTATGTACGGGTTGTGTCGGGTCGAGACGCAAGACGGAGAAGAGACCGGGAGGAAGAGAGCGGGATTGTTGCATTGGACGTTGACCCGCGCGGCTCAACTGTTGCTCCCATTCGCACATCCGGGAGTCCGCCGAAGGGAGACGACCTAGGGAAGATTTGATAATGGACGAGTTCTCTTCCGTCGAGCTCGAACATTTATTGCGTGAAGT